TGGAGTCTTTGAACAAACATATTTTACGATTTATTTTCAATGATTCAATGTCTAGTTATGATGAACTACTAAAGGAAGCAAAGATAGCATCCCTATTCACTGGAAGACTTCACAAAATTCTTAGGTAGTTTTCAAGAGCTTATTTGTTTCTAGGTATCCTGGATATCTGAAAGAACTATTCGTTCTTCGTAACTCCAGTTATTCATTTAGAGGAAAGAATATTCTGACCTTACCTATACCTAGAACAACAAATTACGGACTTGAATGCATCCGATATCAAGCAGCAAACATATGGAATTCGCTCCCAAACAGTATGAGAGCAATGATATCGTTTAAAGATTTTAAGACAGACATAAAGAAAAAGAAAACGAACTTTTAGTGGTAATTTTAATCAGTGTACTTTAATGATTCAATTGATTTAAATATTTTTCTTCCTCGAAGACATTAGCTTAACAGAGCTACTCTGAAAATTCGAGTTGACAGAAAGTGTATGTATGTATAGCACGGATAGTCAAGAACTGTTATCCCAAAAGTAGTTAACTGTACGTATCTTCTCTTCAATGCATAAAAAACCCTTTTGTCGTATCTCATATTTCTTCAGAGATACTATCTTCAAATTTGTCATCGATCAAAATTTCCGTCCATCGTTTGTTGAGAGTCGAGTCATTGCTTGTTGGCTGTTTATTTTGGTCTTCATTCAGCTCATTTGCTGAGCTTTCCAAGGACCATTGGTCAGTCCAAGTGTACAACAAGTGTATTTGTATGAACCACTCACTTCTATTCACCCAACTGGTGCACTGAGGGACACATTCCAGATGTCACCCTTTTTCCTATGGGGTCTTTGTTTCCCCTATTTCCTCGTGGGCCTCTGTTTCCTCGTGGTTCAGGGTGGCCCGGTAATCAACGGCTTCCGTTGTCCCCTTTCATTGCTTTAAGACCTTGTTTACCTGGTGCGCAAAATACTGTGGGGGTAGTGGTGTTGGATGACGCTGACCTCATGCAGCTCCCTGGTAGACCGGTAGGGCCTGGAATACCGGATGAGTGTCGAAGTCCCTGAAAATGAATAAAAGCGTTAGAAGGTCTCGGGAAGTTTCGAAAATAACAGACATTCCTAATTATCAGTGTGGAAAGATGAAGACGAAGTGTTAGATACATTAAAAGGGTCTAAAAAAGGTTCTTTCTTGAGCTGTTACATCCTACAAAAAAGGCGTAATTATTGTTGTACTGGACATTTAACAATGAAGTGACAAGGGTAACAAATTGTCTGATAGTCATATTTATAGCTTAACATCTTAGTAAGTTGACCTCGGAGAACATTGGTAAATGTATTGATTTTAGTTTAAGTGTCACATTAATGAACTCTGCAGAGCAGTGAAAGTTCAAAAACCGAACGCTGAAGATAAATGACTTTGCTCCATTAACGTATTTTTTTTTAAAACTAAACTAGTGAGCAGCCGCACTCTGCGAACAGCAGTTATAAAACAAGAACCACGGTTCTAGCTAAAACCGTGGCCCCAAAAAATTCTTATTTACATAGAGTAGCAGGAGCTAATGGGCTCCTGGTTGATTTGTGGTTGGAGCTGATGGGCGTGTTTCTTTTTATAATGATAAAGGTCTTTAATAGTGAAAAGTCCTCGGTCAATTATTTTGAAATTTACTGCTGGTAAAAGACACAGGCTTAAAGTTATTTCATCAACAATTAACAAAGGGTTTCAATGGGGTTAACCGGTCCTTATCGGTATAAAAAAACATCGGGCGAAAAAATTGACAAACTTTAAGCGTTGTTCGCGAGAAAAATCACCGTAAATGTTTTTCATTTCGATAGAATGCGTTATTTTGTGTCATTCTGGGTTAAGCGGTACTTTTAAAATGAGAAAAAAAATTAACTGTTTGCAGTAAAAGGTATCACCCCATTGAGTTCTTCCTATCAAAGATCTTGGTGTTCAGGAAGGTTAGTGGCCTGTTTTGTTTTTGCTTTTTTCAAGGTGGCCGAGCTGAAATGTTTATTTTTGTCTAAGAAAGAAATAGAGAAACAAAGTAACTAAATTGTCTCGTCTTGCTGTTTGTGTAACTTGCGCAGAACGGACCTGTTACTGGTTATACGTTTATCTTGAACAAACCTCGTACTAATAGGAACAAAGCAACGGATGACTTCAATATAGGCGTTTAAAAGTGAAGCAGAGGCAACGTAACTGCATTCGGTTTGAGAGTGTAAGATGTACTCGTTGCCCTTTTAACACTTTTTTTAACAGTACAACTGCCGTTATAATATGGCATGCACAGCTACCAGTAAGGCATTCTCACAAAGCTTGCCTTAACCCGAAAAAAAGTACCCGTAGACAAACGCACGAGACTGCGTGGCTGGATCAAGTTTTCCTATGCTATAACCGGGTACATTTTGAGCTCTCAAAATAGAACTTTCCATTCTTGCATTCGAACGTTTTCACACACGCGTCGACCTAAGGGTTCAAGTTTAAAATCGTGTGCGCGCATTCAATCGTCATTACTTTGCTAACGTTATGGGGAAGTTTGAGACCAGCTCCTTATATGGATGAGGAACTACAGCTGAGCCAAATAGGGTTATCTATTTTGGTTTTTACAATGATATTTCCCGGCCCTTAATTTGAAGTTAGTTCCGTTTATCTTGGTATGTCATCACGGAACTTTTCCGAATTTCCTTACGTGAAATATCACGAACATGTATAAATCAATCAAGATCAAGTTTTTGTGACATTAGAACGATGTAAGTGTGTATTATTAAAACAACAAAAATGACCATCATTGATTACTAATTTCCAAAAACTCCCTCAAAACTACTACTGACATTGATTTTGTAGATAAACATGGATTACATTTTACTTAAAAGATTATTTTTAGTTCATATGAGTGGTTGTGCTGTAAGTGACCTTTGGATACGGGTGGGGAACAATGCAAACAGGCCGTTGGGACTTGGTAAAGAGTGACCCCGACCGCTTTATTGATAGAGGTGACCGCTTGTAAATTTTAGTAAAGAGACTTTGACCAGTTATTGTATCACTGGTATGATTTAAATACAACGGGATGTGACGCAGTGTAGCGCACACGTCAAACAATGTGGTCAGCACTTTGGAATTATGGATAAAATTCTTGTATAGATATGGATACTTCTCAGTAAACCACCTTAATACTATAGTGGACATAAACGGAAGTCTCTCCTTAATTTCCCCCTGAGTGTCTTTCTTATCCCAGTATATCGAATACCATGGTCGCCAGATATAATAAAAGAGTATTCTCCAGAAAATACTCTCTTTTTAAGATTTGTAGTTTATGGGAAGTCCGTAAGATGATTTCTCAAATGGAAAATGGGAGATTTATAACGGATTAATAAAGCAAAGGCCCTTGCAGATGTGGTTGAAATCTCCAGTGGCTTAAACATTTGCAGGGTGGAATCCTCTATACTGAAGATGATTTTCTTGGGAGGGGCGCATGGTCACTTACGAGCGCACTATATGATTCTTAATCCTTAGAACTTGTTCACCGCGTTACGCGAGACCAACGCAACATGCTAAATTATCCCAGGTTGCAACCTGCTAACAGGGTGGATGGGACCATAAGCTTTTTCGCTTTTAAAGTATATGGTTTTGCTCAGAGCAGTAATTCAACTCTTTAAGATCTGATTGTGACTTCTCCCCTTTAGCTGCTACACATTTCCTTGTAAATTAGTTACGAGAATTTGAAGACAGATCAGACAACAACTTTTTCCTGATGACTTTGAGCATTTTCATTATACCTGTTTGTTAAACAATGTAAGGATACTGTAGAGAGAAGTTTCATGTGAATCACTTCTGGGAGTTAACGTCAATTAGGAGACTTACACACAGCAACAGCAACTGATGATTAAAAAAATTTATTCACAAAAAATATTATTTTGAATCAAACGCTTTTTCTCCAGCTTCTTTGTTCATTTTCATCTTTCTTTCCTTTGATGTCGACAAAAGCAAAGCAGAGCAGAGAAAAGTAACTCGAAAATTTAACTTATTAAAGAAAAAAAAGAAGTTTACAAAGCCTCTATGCACAAACTGTGCCAGTACAAATGTAATTCGTATAAGTCGGTACGATCCTGCTAATTAAACTTCATCTTGAATGGAGTTCTGAGGTAGCGGAGGTCGAACATATCAAAGGGAAAAGATAATGCGGGACCAGGAGACCCCTGGGGTAGGAGATTGAGGAATTCCACCAAATCATGGATCTTAAACTACGGGCTTATAACTATTTCTAAGTATATACATTACGAAAAGTAACTTTCAGAGAGCTTCTCGATTGAGTGTCGCAAAACCAAATGACTAATTAGAACAGAGGACTCAAACTAAACGAGGCAAACTGCCAAAGCGCGGGAAAACGTGGGCGACGTAGTCATGATTAACTTCAGTTTTGCATCTGATTGGTTGAGAGTGACGCAAGTTTTTTGGACCAAACATAGACCGAATTAAAGCAAAACTAATGCATTTTCGGATTACTTTAAGACACTCAATTGAAATTGACTCTAATTAACTTTTCTTATATAATAAGATTCTAATCGCTATAAAAATTATAATATGAGATAAAAAAAACTACTACAATAATTTAAGGATCTATAAAAACAGCCGTTCGAAATAAGATCTAGAGCCAGTGTTCTTCTCTTTGAATCGCGAAATAACATAGAATGCACTGAAGAGGGTTGGAAAAATGCCTAACGTGGTTGAATTTTTTATAAAGAGCAAATACAGAGAAAAGCATCGTTTCGCAAATCAATCAGTGAACATTTATGAAAAATCTTTTTTCCGACACATACGAATGTGCAATTCATTTTTTCTAAGATTTTACGAGAGTGAATTTTAGCATAGAAATGAGTTGTAGTAAAAACTTCAGGAAGCTTCTCAATTAGAAACTATATAACTTCATGAACTGATTACACGCAATTTTTCAGATAGTTAAAGATATATAAAAATTAGACTTTTCATTCGTTTAGAACGAACCGAAACTTTTCGTTAATCTCTTTTTTCTCTGCTTACCTTAATTCTTGAGGTAATTTAGAGGAACAAAGATTATCTTAAGTGCCACGAATTTTTCCTTTTAACATTTCTCTTAATTCTTCTGGAATCGCTATAAAACTATTTCAAACGGAAGCTTCAAGTTTTCACAGAGAAGATTCATTAATTGATCTTCCCCCTGGGTGGCAGAGGTGACTGCTTCGTAAAGCCAACAGATTCTTTGTTTCAATGTGACTGCTAGCTTTTTCGCTTCACAGTCCAAGCACAGCATTTAAAACTATTCCAATCATTTTGAACCAACAGATCAATATAAGCGTTCCGCTGATTCTCCACGAGAGCCTCCAACATATATTGCATCGCCGTTTTATTTTCTGTTTTTCGCTATTTTTTTTAATCTTCACTTGTTGCCTAGACTAAGAGCAATCCCTGCATTTCGGAGAAGTTCGTCGTGCGGATAAAACACAATTAGAGGAAAAAAATGGATGCTAGGGCGTCTGACTCCCAGAGTTCCGCGCGGCGCACTGACATCAATTTGTTTTCCACTGACGGACCCAGAGTTCGCCTAAAAGCAGGGATTGCTCGTCCACTAATCCTTGTCAGTCATTTTTGTTAACCAGTCACCTCTGCTAACCAGTCTTCTGGTATTTTTTTAACTCTTTATATCCAACTGAGCATTAGGAATCTTATTTTGGGAGAGAAAGGATCAACAGTTATTATTTCAAAACACTTATTCGCGTGTGACAGTCACCCGATATCAATCACACCAATACTACTTGTCATAGAGTTGACTGTAGTCCCCATTAGCGTCTTTGCTGTCCGCTTCAGCGATGTAGTCATACTCTACCGGCGGCGGCTGGAAAATAAAAAGGATCCAAAAGTGACTTGGTGATAATCAACACGGACTATCATTGAAGTTGACACTGCTTAGTTTGTAATTAGAAACACAGACAGTCCCAGCTCATGACACAAAAACGAATGTGAATAAGACAAATGCTTTTGAGCGGAATTGTGCTACAAAAACACGATATTAAACGCGCTTGTGTGGGAACTCAACGGTTTTATCATAGAAGTATGCGGAAGAAATGAACAAACCGCGCTACTTCGCCGATACTAAATCCACATGGTCTAAGCTATTGGTGAACAGAAACGAATACACCGACGCAACTATTGAAGACAATTTTCCGACGTAAAAACGAACTTCCTTCTACAAATCCGCAAATGCTTCTCATGAGTATAAGGAAGAAATTAATATATCAATAAGCGCATAAATAAACGAAAAAAGTAAAACAAGACGCATGAACCGTTTGAGCAAATATTTCGACTAAACATCTAAGAAAAAAGTGCTATTATGACTATTTTTGTACCTTGAAGGATGTTTTCATATAGCCATTCAATTCTGCCTCTATTAACCACACGTAGACACCAAAGGAAAACCCTCCCCCCACCTTCTAAAAAATACTTACCTCTAGCTGAATGTCCTGCAAGGGCATCAGAGGTGTTTGCCGGCGTCCCCATTTTCTACCATTAGAAAAAAAAAAAAAGGCGTTGGGTAAAGATAATGATAAAGTCCTGTGAGATAATTACTGGAATATTTTGGAATACTGTGCTGTTACCAATACTTTCTCATTGTCCCACACAGCCTACCCTCATTTCTATTTCAGCTTCCTTCCAAACAAGTCCCTTCTACCCTCGCCCTCTCAATCCCTTGCTCTCACATTCCTTCTTATTCTTTTGCTCTCTTCTTTCCATTCCTTCGTTTCTCTCTTCCTTCCTTCCTTCCTTCTCATCTATTTCTCCCTCTCCATCTCTGTCTCTTTTCCCATTATTCCTTTCTCAAAATCACACACCTTTGTCAGTTTCTTTCTCCATATCTGCATCTGTTTCCTTATCCTTCACTCCCAATACTTCTCTTCCACCCTCTCTGGAGGATTTTGATTGTGTCACGGTAAGATTTACGTGATCCTTCCTTAAGGTTCTGTAATATTCTTATGATCTACACCCTCATCATTGGCAGTTAATTAGTAGTCAGTTTTCTATACCTATCCTACCCCCCACTTCATACTCTGTTGGCGACGACGACTGATGTCCCCTCTGTTTCCTTTAAATTCCGTGTGATCTCCTCCCCCCCACCCACCCCCTCAAAAAAAAAACTTCCATCCCCCCAGGGATAGGGGATTGATTGGTTCCTGAGCTCCCTGCCCTCTCACACTGCCATCCCTTACTGTCTTACCCCCCCTCCCCTTCCTTCCACCCTAAAAACCAACAGAAATTCATCTTCATACCTTACAAAGTAAACAGCAACTCCAGCTATCGTACATCCTACGAGAACTGAAATAGTAAGCCCGGCAATTTCTGCGCTACTTAATTTTCTTTCTTGGGTCGTTGTTGTTTGGGTCTCTGAGGAATAAAAGAGAGAGCAGTGATTGAGGAGTCTATTTCAAAAAAAAAACTTTCACACAACTAAACCAATAATAGAAAATTATCACAATCACTGATCAAAACTTTGGGTAAGATGTATTTTCACAACATGAAAAGTTACAAATGTTTTCTGATTGTGTTTTCCCAATTATATTAAGAACACATGCGTGTAGGTTAATGTTACTGTATATACAGGAGGTGATGTGTCTAGAAACTTGAAAAACTGTAATTGTCATGTCTTCTAATTTTTCGTCATTGTATTTGTGCTTATAGAACATTCATTATTATTATAAGTTTCTTTGTTTTTTCTGATAGGCGTAGGTAATTATTATTGTGGGTATTTTCAGCAAAATATTTGTAATCCTTTGAGCTGTAGTTTTGTTATTTTATTGTTCAGGTTCCTTTTGTTTGGTTCATAGTTTTCAAGGTTGTCACCCATCAGGTTTAACCCTTTAATCCCTAAGAGTGACAAGGTTCTAATTTCTCCTTACAATATCACCCCTGAAACAAATGTTTAAGTCACAAGAATAAAGGAAATGATCAGCAACTAACGAAGCTCTTGATGGTTTTACAAATTCTCCTTGTTAGAACTTAGGTAATGTATAGAAAACAGAATGGAGAATATGCATAATGATCCAGTTAGGGTGTAAAGGGTTAAATATGCTGACTTTTCTACATTCCAGGGTTCATAATCCTGAGTAAAGTCACCAGTGCCAAAACAATGAACTCATAAAAATCACACTCAGGCAGGTAATACCACATTTATGCAAAGAAGGATCATATCAAGGGGTGAGTGGCAATGAAGATTCATGCTTTGCACTTTATTTGCATTTGCCCTACATGACATTCTGCTCTTTTTCATCACTCACCTTGCACTTTCTTAATGACATGAAACAATCTGCGTGTGCTGGACTTTCCTTCCATATTACGCATGATCATGAAGACATCATAGCTGTGTGCATTTTCCAATCTTGGTAAAGTAATGTTGGTTGCTTTGGCATCAGTAGTATAACTACAACCTTTAACTTTCCTCTGGCCAACATGGTATGCGCATGAAATCACATACTGACCAGGATTGCCCCGCCATGATGAGGTATCTGCCGGCTGAGAGACAATTACCTTTTGTCATCATCATGGTGGCATTAGATCAAATCTCTACTACCAGACATCACTATGAGAAGCACTCCCCTCCCAAAGAGATTGAATGATGAATAATAGCAAAGAACAAACAAACAAATTATTTCACGAGGCAGCCAAGAGGGCCCCATCTCATCTGAGTGTGGTAAAAACCAAAACCAAGTACCAGTGATAACAATTAAATTTCCCAATCATGGAACAAAAAATCACAAGGAGCAAATCAGAACTCAAAGTAAAAACAATTAAAGTGTTAAAAGCCTTGGAAATGCGTGTAGCCAAGGCACCATTGGTTTCTAGTTTTGCATCTGAATAGTAAAGAAAATGGCATAATTTTTCTGGACTAATCACAGTGGATAGATAAAACAAAACCCATGAACTCTTGCTTTACTTCAGACAATATATTGAATTTTTTTTCAGAAAAGCCTTTCCCAAAAGAAAAAATCACTCAGATTATCTCAATCATTAGAGAAAAATATAAAGCCTGTAAACTATGAGTTTACCACGATTCTTTAGCCTTAGACCACAAGTTTTGTGCCTGAATGATTTTCAAATTGAAGTAGAGCAAACTCAATGATGAACAATTTTCAAATTGAAAAAAATCCAGTTTGAAGTGTACACACCCAGACATGATTGTGTTCTAAAAAGAAATTTTAGGTATCAAGAATTAAGGTTTAAAACCCACCTCCCATTCCACTGATACATTCCTGAGACCAGAATTGCCCGGAAAGGATAACGAATAATCTCTTATCACCTTTGGTAGATTGACTGGATCTGTAATCAAAATGATTGATGTCATCTACAGCTGTAGAGGGGTGGAGGGAATGGAAGAATATGGTAAAGGATTGCGAGATTGGAGAGAGGGTTAATCAAGACAGAAAAAAATTGGAGCAAAGGATGAAGGGAGGAGAGTTAAAGTGAAGTTAAGGAAAAGAGAGAGAAATAGATTGTAAAAGGAAAGGATGGAATTAGAGTGAAGGGAAAGGAGGCAAGATCAAGAAAAGGTCAGTAAATGGGGGTATAGTTTAGGGAAGTGACCTGCCAGGGGCCTGTTTCTCAAAGGTCCTTGTACTTTATGGGCCCCTATGGCTGTTCTGTTTTCATTCCAGATGGGAGTTTCAAAAGTTTTGAAAACTATACAAACAAAACTATCAGCTAAAGAAACAAAATGGACTGGTTAGGGTGCTAGAACTTGCTCTAGAGAAACAGGTCCCACGAGACAATTAGGCTGATGAGAAAAGAAACAAAGAGGCAATGTGTGCAAGAAGGTGGAAGACAAGAGGGAGAAGGTGATAAGGAAGTCCTTAGAAAAGAACAGTCAGAGTGACCAATGGCAAAAGAGAAAAATGAGCATAATGATAGGTACATGGCACTTTATACTCTCAAGAAAAACAGGAATTGCTTACTCAAATTGGATGCCATTGCAAATACACCCATGAAAATGATTCATATTTAGACAATGTGCAAGGTGACTCAACAGTTTGCAAATAACAGGGAACATTTCTGTAACCCAGTGTGGGTTGTAGAAGAAATGAGAAATTATGGCCTGGACTACATAGATACAAGGGCAACAACTATTAAAAAGACATACAGCCTGCTTTTGTCCTGACAATTTTTGGCCCAATGGCTTCACTCCAGGCTGATTCATCTAATCTGACCACAACATAAACATAATACTCTGTAAAGTCTTTCAGTCCAGTAAGCAGTGTAAATTCTTTATTGGATCTAGTGCTTGTCTGAAATGAAACAAACATTTAAAAAGTATGTGCATTAATATTAAATTAAAAAATTACTTTGGTATTCTCTTAATTTAATAATAATGACATTAACTAATTTAGTAATCATGATAAAATTGGCCCTGATGATTAAAGAAATAAAAGTCCACCTGAATGAATAAATAGTTTGACTTGTGCATACAATAAAAACAGTGAATAGCCATTTTGAAACATGAAAAATAAATCAATACATAAAAAACAATTTTTAAATCATTTTTTATGCTACTGACATAGGTTTCTCAGACCAGGAGACCACAAGTTTTCGTTCCATTCTCCCACTCTTTCTGCCAATTTTCATTCACCTGTCTTGAGCTATAACTTCTCCCACTCCTCTCCTCCCCCCTCTCTTTCTTCACAAATTACTGATGCAGTTTTTTATCTTGACATGTAAATTGGATTTGTTCATTTAATTTTATTAAAGCTTTGAGGACAGTTCTCTTAGTCAGTAACATTTCATTTACAATGGGTGATGTGTGAAAAATTAGTCAGAAAATGTTTACCTAAACATACCCTATTTTTAATCTCCCCTTTGGCATGATAGAGCACTGTATAATTTTGGTAGGCTAGATCCCAAGATAGTCTGGCTTTCCAACGCACACGTAATTCACCCTCTTTATCTGTGCGCTCAACACTAAAATTTTCAGGAGGCTTGGGTGTAACTGAAAGACAAACATTAACCTTTTAATTTTCCAGCAGTGACAATAACATGTAACGTCTTGTTAAATTATCAAAATATTTAATCCAGCAAACAGGTAATGAGATAATTTACTCAAAATTATCAGGCAGAAGCTGTCATCTTGATCTAACACCAAATTCTTGTAACTAATTCACCAAGAAATGTGTAACACTGAGCTGGATGAGACAATTAACAATCAGATTCTAGGAGTTGAAGGTTTAATGACTGAAATCATTATCATGGGGATTGTGATATTATTAGCAATACTAAAATTGTCCTAAATTAATGAAGAAGCACTTTGAAAAAAATACCTGAACTTATAGACATAAATGGCAGGTAAATTAGACTTTGTGCACTTCCAACAGCATTTGTGGCCATAACAGAAATATTATAGACACAGGCATCTAAGAAAGTTTTCAGAATGCACTTGAAATTCATTGTAGTGCTGAGAATGTTTACAGGCTGGCATTCTTTTATGTTGATCAACCTGCAGGCAGTTTTCTGACATGAGTTGTCAGGATTGTCATTGCACAATTTGATGGAGTAGTTCACAGGTAAACCACCAGTATAGTTGGAAGATGACCACAGTATCCAGACATCTGTAAATGGATAAACACCATAGATTTTGAGGTTTAAATTCCGTGGGGAACTTGGTGGATCTGGAAAGCAAAAGTCAGAATAGTTTATATGACTGTGTGAGTCTCCACGGAAATTGGCTTTAAATAACTAATTTATACCATCATATGCATATTACTGTTCTCTATATATCTATTGCACTGATGAGGAGAATTTGTTTAACAATCACAAGCTTCTTTAATTGGTGATTGCTTGATTCAGGGTGTTACTGTGAGGAGAACTTGGTTTCTAATCACTTTAGGGACAAAGGGATAAAGTATCACACTTTATAATATAAAAGCTAATTGAAAAGGAGAATCACGAGGTTTGAAGGAGTTAAATGCAATAAAGCCTTTTGTACATTTAAATTGAAGCCTACAAAATTTCTAGTTTGCTTATAAAAGCCCAAGGAATATTAGGTATTTAATGTGTTTTTGATACACAGTGTGTCTTATTACAAACTGAAATGTCTCAATAAATTTTAAACAAGTGAAACAAACAAAATAACCAAAAAAACAAAAAAATTTCACAAAACACTGTTTAGTGAGTACCCACTGCACTTGTGAGGAATGTTGTTGGAATGTCTGCCATTGCTAATTAGATTGCTAATTACATTGATCAAGATCACTCTCACTCAGACGATCAGAATACTTTATCAACTGTTACCTCTGGGTTCAAACCATTTACTGCTTCTTTATAACATTCTTCTTTAAATTTGTAATTTATACATGCATGTATGTGGCTTAATTCAATGTTTAGTTTTGTGTTTCTGTCAGATTTGGAGGAGTTCTGATATTAACACGGTGATCATAATTCTTACAATAAACTGCACTGAAATCATATCAAAAAAATTCTCAGTAAGTATACATCAAACTTTTTCGCTAAAAACTTGACTACGGTAGCTTGGTGATTGTTACCCGTGATAATTAAACAAGTTTAAAATTTTCTGTTGAAGCTACTGTGTTTAAATACAAAAAATACAGATAGATGTTTCCAATCACTTCTTTAAAATTTCGATCCACAAGTTTCTTACGTGATTACCCACCTCATAAGGAGAGAACCACTCTCTGAGTAATTTAGTACAAGGCGGCCAACCACAACCTTGAGCCAGACCATTCATGCTCCAGAGAAACGTCAAAGGCCAGACGTTCCCAGTGAATCCAATAAGAATGTTTATCATCTCAGTTAATAACATTCCCGTCGTAGACATCGTTCTAGGACTCCGAGTATCTGATAATAAAGCCGCCCGTAAATTTTCCGACATATACATCGCTGCGAACCTCTCGTTACTACACTGAGTTCATTCTTTTTCAAGTTAAGGTCTCGTATTAAAGCCGGTATGGCGAAGGTGTAAGACTTCCACGAGAAATAATAGAAGGAGTGACCTAAAAATAGTGCAATGTAAACCATCCATCGAGTTATTTGATAAAGGCGAAAGTTAGAGTCCTTACAAGCGACTAAATACAGGAATGGCTCCGACCTGTGATTGGATGATAAAAATAGTAAAAGTTAATAAGTTATATCTTAACTCCTTGCACGTGAGTATTGTTAACCGCGTGTACCGAAGCGGAACAATGAAATATCCATGCGAAAACACCGACGTGTCAAACAAGAAATGGCCACTTACATAACGAAGATAAGGCAGAGTCTATCTTCTTCAGCTAGGTCGTTCAGAGATATTCCGGCGATGAAAAAGTCATCCGCTGCCAATTTCCGCTGACAAAACTAATTTAGTCTGTCTAGGCGGACGACCAGAGACTGGAGCCATTCCTGTATTTCACCGCTGACAGGAATGGCTCCAACTCATTGGTATATTAATTTTTTGGTTCTGGCTAAATAATTTATATACAGATAAAAAGTGAAAGAGCTATTTATTAGGTTCTTCTTATGTTGAAGTCTACAGTGCTTGCAAATGAAGCCCTCTTTTATTTCTACAGGGCCATGTAGTTTCTAAGTTTTAAAATAATGCAGCAACTGCATACCATGTTTGAAAGATCACGCAAGGTTGCGTGACGCTGCCACCGATGTTTTTAATTTACAGTATGCTCTACTGGAGGAGTATGGCTTGACCGCAATCGAGGGAATTTTTTTCGTGGAAACGGATTTTCTAGGTAATTGTTCAAATGAAGGACAAACCCATTCATCGGGTTCTTGATCTATTTTTGCACAACACCCAAAGGAAGAAAGTCGCGGATTAATTTTGCTTGGTAATTTCTAACAACTCCACTAGACCTAAAAAAGGAAAAAAAAAAAAAAAATTGTCTTACCAGTTAAACCAGTGGCAGTAGCCCTCGCACTGAATCATATCGAAGTACCTTGACTGTTTGTAGTGATAGCACAACCAATCTTCGAACAGTTTTTGGCTATAACAAGAAAGAGTAAAATGATTTTATAAAATATGTTCCAAAATTAATGAAGGCTGTTCATCACATGACATAGTATTGGAACGAGTATATCTCATTAGTTATCGTATCACACTACTGTTTTAGACAAGGTATTTATACCACTTAAATTTAAGAAAGAATGAGTGGACCATAAACTACATTTTCTGTACGAGCCATCCTAACCTAATTTGCCAACTGCTTTCCAGGCATCATCTGTAAAAAACCTCTTCAATTTTTCAAATTTGAAAATTTTCAGCTAAAACCGCGGCTCCCAAAAAATATTTCTCATCTTGCCTAATAAATTTTCAAAAGAAATTTTCAAATTTTCACAACTTTGCCTATTCCTGCTCGTAGGTCCTGGTAAGCCCTCATGGTCACTGGTCATAGCTGCTAACAATGGTTTATAACTATACGCGTTTAGTGTTACCTCGTAAAACTCCCCGAAGAAGTTACGAGAGTTAGACGAAACGCGTCAGAGAATAAAGAAGTTTTACAACTACTGTTCGTACAGCACTGCTCACCATTTTAGTTTTACATTTTTAAAATTTTTTTTTTAAAAATTAATAAAAAGTTATTGAAAAAAATTAATAAACGTTTGAGTCGGAGCTATTCCTGTCAGCGGTGAAATACAGGAATGGCTCCAGTCTCTGGTCGTCCGCCTGAACTGACCAAATGAGTTTTGTCAGCGGAGCTTGTTAGCCGATGACTTTTTCATCGCTGGAATATCGCTGAACGACCTCGCTGAATAAGAAAGGCTGCCTTCCCTTCGCTACGTAAGTAATCATTTCTTTTTTTACAGATCGGTGTTTTCACTCGCATTGATATTTCATTGTTCCGCTTTGAGACACGCGGTTAACAATACTCACGGGCAAAGAGTTAAGATATAACTTATTAACTTTTACTATTTTTATCATCCAATTATAGGTCGGAGCCATTCCTGTATTTAGTCGCTCGTAGAGTCCTTCAGAGACGCCATGTTTGTTCATGTGAGGGGAATTGTCTCGCAGCTGCTGTTGGGCTCGTCACGCAATTATGTATTGGCTTTTCACGTAATATTGGCTTGTCACGTATAATGTGTCAGGCCAAAATGAGGGCGTTGAGGAGACCTGGGATATCTCTCTCCATCCACATCAGGAAATCTTCTGCAATCGAGCCTCTTTCGTCTAAATCGTTTCAGCTTCGATCCTTTTTAAATTTCCCTCCCACTGATTATCTCCTGGAGGAAAAAGGATCGGATCCGATAAAGACTGGTTCCTAATATGCCAGCGTAGAAGAAAAACCAGATCAAGTACAGAAAGTTAACGAAGGTGAAAAAAAGCTTCCAGTAAAGCTGTAACTGACTGTTGATAGAATACAATATCTTTGGCGTTCACGCTTAAAATTTATTTCTTACACACATTGATCGTTGTAAAAGTTGTCAATGACTTTCAATCAGGCGTTCTCGGAATCAACCTTGAAAATTCACATTTACCCTGAAACATCATTTTCTTTCGATTTCAACGTTCCAGTGTTTATTTGTTATCTGATGACCTCCTCTAGGATATTCTGGGATATTTAATTCGCGTGAAAATCGTGTATTGAGATCTGAAGTGATAATTCGAAAACGTGATTTCCCTCTTCGTCAAGAAACTTGTTCTTCGAATTATTTGGGCAGGTGAAAATATTGTTTTTGCCATGAGATTCATTCTTGCAATATTTGTTGTGGTAAATCTTTTATTTTGGAGAGACAGGTAGAAAAAAAATTGTTTGATAGAATTCAGGTTTTGAAGAAAAGAGCAAATTATATTGTGTTTTACTTGAAAGGAATCTATTAGAGATTTTTTTTTAAGTATCGCTAAGACCCTGAGCCTCGTACTTCCCTTTCTCGAGCTGAAAACTGATAATTTACTCAGCTGAAAGGGGCATTTTCGAGGTGAAAAAATACAGATTAATGCATTGTTTGTCTCAAATAACCAAGCCTTTCAGATCAAAGAAATAATTAACAAGCTTGTCATTTTTCACAAAGGTGTTTGTTTTAGTCGAAGTCTTCCATTCGACGCCTCTTTAAATGCAATAACATCTCCAGAACTTTAAATATCTCATCATCAACTAAACAAAATTTTACTTTCATAAAGTAGGCAGACTTGTATGGGTTGGTAATATCTGAGTCGAAAACAAGGCGCGTCAGTGAGACGATCTTAAACAAACAATGTTCAAAGCTTTTCTCATTTTTTATTCAAGAAAGGTCGCAAGCAGACTAATGATTAGTCGGCAGGTAAACAAAGAAATTAAAGATAATGCTGCGCAATTGTTATCTGTGTTAAACTGCCAAGGTCGGATCACGTTCTTCTCAATGGCCAACTCAAACTTGGACGTGGAGTTCATTTAGTTTTGAACATGTTTGAAGTGAAAGTCATCGGATAGCGAGGAAACTTCTTCGAGGGGTTTCTTTTCTTGATACTTCATAATCGTTAAATTCTTGTTTGCTTTGAAGAGAAGGTCAACAGAGCCTTGCTAAACAAATGAATTCAACCGGGAATCAAACTGCTCCTTTGACATCAGGAATGATTTGCAGCAATGAAGCAGAACTTGTCTCGATGGCCACTGTGCAATTCTTATCATTCCTTGCAAATTGGGTGGCAGCAATAGCAACATCGAGGCTTCCAGGCCTAGAAGAAAACAAGTATCATCTTGTTGTCAGAACTCTGGTTGTCAGCGACCTCCTGATCCCAATCACAACGCTTCCATTCTCTAACATCTCCTATGCAACCTGTTCGTGGATTGGAGGCGAGACTTTGTGCTCAGTAACTGTGTTCATTTCCACCACTTTTCTAAGCTGGTCTTTTGTTATAGTGTTTATAATGTGCCTGCTTCGTTTTCTGGCAGTTACAAGGCCTTTGTACTACAGAAACCAAGTTACATATGTGAGAGTGCGGGAGACTCTGATAGTCGGTCCGTTATGGCCTTGCGCTCACCTTCAGTTCTTCCTGCTACGGGCCTCAGAAAGTTTCGTTTATACAGTAAAGGACTGTACTGTGCTCCCGATTTAACAACAGAGGAACCAAATAATAAGATTCTACTCTACGCCACGGTTGTGGAAGGAAGCCTAGTCACTTTGGCTGTGTCGTATTTCTGTGCCACTATCTTGTGTTTTGTAAAGAGGAAGCGAAGAGTAAGCAGTTTGCTCTCCGAACAGCAGCGGCGAGGAGCTGGCATCGAGAAAGTTGA